TCAGGGTTTTGCTATTGGGTTGAACGCATTGCAATCCACTGAGCCAACATCACCAGCCCGTCTTCAACGACAACATTTTTCTGAAAACGCTAGGGCTCTCGACATGGTTTACACACTTTGGATGTTGCCATGAAAAACTTCAGAGAACTTTAAAGGACGTAATGATACGTAATGACTGATCACATGACTTGAGGCAAAGTAACACACACTTTAAGTAACACACACTTTGAAGATTTCGTCTGCTATTGCAATGTATGACGATGATGACAAAGTCACACAGTGTTGTGTCCTCAGTAGACCTTGGATCAAATTTCAACTTCGCAATCTTGGTTTTGATCATGTTGCTGCTGGTGTCCCAAATGGAAGTTGGGAGCACTTCAACCACCGTAGGCTCCTGCACGGAACCCAAATTAGCAGGCAGCATTGCTCAAGAACCAAGCCATGTCTCACAACAATTCAACTTGACTCCAGACATGACTATCATGCTATTTTATGAGGTATCATGGTACACCATGCGTGCAACCTACTGACAAATACTGACAAGACCAGGAATTCAGTTGATGCTTTTACTGGTTGAGATGTGTTAAAAAAAAACAGTAAAAGGGAAACAAACACAAGATACAGCTCAATCAGACATGTTTCCAGCGCCTTTGGGCCAGCTTCTGGTTCCTGAACCGCTGCGCTGGAGCAGGTGAAAAGGTGACTGCACACAGTTGTGGAAGTCACAACTCTCAGGCCTCTATCAAAATAAGGCACTCCAAAATATAATGTTTGTTTGATCAGCATTTTCTCTTGGAAACGGCAATTAATTAGCGTGTCCCAGTCCCCTGTGTTTGGAACAACCCACTTTGATCTTCCAAGGTCAGGACCGCAGTGATTTTTGCTGTTTGGCCCGTGGATGAAGCAGGTTCCTGTCCACAGCTGGATCTGAAGCCAGGAAGCACCGCTCTACTCTCGGGGTTCTTCCCATCTATACCAAGAACAGGAGACACAAATTTAATCTTTCACTCACCTCACCGGAATGCAAGCTGTTGAAACGTGTTGAAATACAGACCTCACGTTGATAAAAGTGATGATCAGGAAACTCTTTAACCAAACCATGGACGGTGGACACCCTCCAGGCGCCTTGGTGGCCGCTTCTGGACGTGAATCAGCTTCGGATTGAGTGGTTTCCTTGGGCAAATGCAGATTTCCAAGTGATTCTGATTTCGACCCACCTTTCGACAATGCCTTTCCGACCTTCAAATCTGTAACAGAATGCCTTTGCGTTCATACATATTCATTTAACATGCACGGAACATGTATTACATTAATTACTAAGATGTCTAAAATACTATGTGATGGTGAAATAAATGATTCTCTTGTTTGGTCGGTTTACCTGGCACAGTTTCCGGCCGAGAGTCTTCCACTATTTTGAGAGCTGCATCCTTCTTGATCTCCAATTTTGCATCATCCGCTTGAAAGGTCGTCTCTTTGAGTTTCAAAGCATTGAGAAACTCCAACCAACCACCACGGACGACTCGGTCGACAACAACGGCTTGGAGCTGTGCTCGAGTGATAGCATGATAAAGACGAGCTCTGGTGAAATTGTCAGTGTCACCAGTGATTTGCGCATCAAAGCCAATGCAAATGATAAACAGCTGCTCCAACCCTTTGGCGTTGGTGTCACAGTCAAGAATGAGTTGATCCTTCCTCCTGTCCTGATGTACAGCCTCTGGTAAGAAACGTAAAGATTCCTCAAAGGAAACCAGCTGAATGTTGTAAGCAGGCCCAAAATCTGCCTCCAAACGCTCCTCAAGATGGAACCTGAAAGTTCTGTGGAACTCTTCATCATTTGGCACGAGCAATGCGACGTGCCGATCAAGCCGAATGCTGGGGTATGTCTCTAAAATAAACCACAGAGCTTTCACTGTGTTATCTGCAAACTGAGCAAACAAATCACCATCATACCCTTCGGGCACCTCGAAAATAAATGACTTCAGTGGAGGGCCAGTTGTGCCAAGACATGTAGTTGGCTCACCATCTTGCAGCTGAAATGCGTTAGCTCCAAATACAATTCGCTGTGTGCTGCGCACGACCTGCGTGAGATTCACCTGGCGCATTTCAGGATAACTGTTTTGAAGTAACAAGGACTGCGAAACATCTGAAAGAATCAACTTCTGCTGGGCACGAACTTCCTGGAATATGCTTTGGTTCGTTCTAAATATTTCATGTCCTTCATCAAAAACTGCGAGAACCAAGTCATCCGGCATGACCGTCAATTCCTGCAAAACAATTTGGCAATCTTCAATGTGTACTCCCGTGAATCTGTCATAGGGTGCATGCATCAAAACAACTCTTTGTAAGAGCTTGTTCCTGGACATCGTCGGCAGCGATGACTTTGCATATGTGAGGAGCCAGCGGACGAAATAGAAACCCAGAGATCGGTTCGGGGAGATGAATAGAATCTTCCCCTGACTGCTCGAACTCAGTTTGCTGATTGCATGCCGGATTGCCAAAAACGACTTCCCCGCTCCAGCCGGGGCTGACAAATGGACGTCTTCATGTAAGTACCTGGAAAGTTCTTTGAGTTTCTCTGCTTGATGATTTGTGAGCTGTGCGGAAGTCAAAAGACTTGCTGAATATTGGCCGAAAAACGATGTATTGTCCACGGCCACCTCTTCTGTAATTCCACACTTTTCTAAAGCACCATTCAGTAGAAATGCCAAGTCATCACTTAGCACTGCATCTCGCAGCCGGTGCTTTTCCTGAATACGTTGCAGATCAAAATCCACTGCCAAGGAAGGCATGCCATTTTGAAGGCGCGACTCACATATGGATTTTACTTGGAGTTTCGTTGCGTCCTCTAGGATCTTCTTCAAAGAGTCCTTTCCAAATACGTCCAAGCGCAAAAGCTTCTCAAAAAAATCCGTGGCGTGCCGCAGATGCTTGGTCTCAAATTGTTTCCTTGTTTTCTGGCACACCACCTGCCATTTCATATCATAGTGGTCATGGTGGTTCTTGGCGTGCTCAGGCGTGGGCATTTGGAGAAGTTCGGCTGTGACAAAACTATTCTGATCCAGGTCAAATGCGTCGACAATGTCACCAGGTTTGAATTGTTCAGCCAAGAATTCCGTCACATCGACTTCGTCGTAATCCCATCTGCCGCTGCGATCTGTGCGTCGCATCTCATCCAGCTTGGCAATTTCCCCCTTTTGGGAGCCACCACACCCAATTCCATCCCAAAGGTTCACTTTTGGCAGCATTGCCCAGGGGACTTTGCCACAGCCTACGTGACCCGGGAAAAAGACAACCTTAAGTTTCTGTCCCAGGTCTACTGCTCTCTTCACTCGGTCAAACCACTTCTGAAACCAAGCGCAACCCCAACTCGCTCGCCTCCCGTTCTGCTCCCATAGATGCTGAGCTGTTGCCCTATCTTTGTCAGTGGCTTTTCCGAAAACAATGTGACTTTTCATCGCTTCTGCTCTTTTTCTTCCTTCTGATTTCTCGTCATCGGTGCATATGTGTTTCACCTCTTGGAGGTATCCCAGATCTTTATAGTTGCGCTCACCGTAGATCTGTGCACAGAGACATTGCTGCAGATTGTCATCTGGAAAGTAGTGCTGCCCAAGCCCATGCTCAGTGTCGCGAAGGAATACACATGCCACGGAGTCTTTGACATGTCCACTGATAAGGGATTCTCACCCTGTTTCATACTTCCCTGGGAACGAGACCCAGCAAACTTTGGCATTGGGATCAATTTTTCCGAAGTAGCTATTGCCTCTGAAGGAAAGGACAGCAGGACTTTCCTTCAGAATGAAGTGAAGGGTGTTGAGCTCCTAGCAAAGCGTTCTTTCTTGCAAGAAGTCGTATTCAGATCAAAGCAACCACTTTTCTTTTGATGAAGATTATGTATGTTGAGGCGAAAAATCCACAATGTGTAAAACCAAACCCAATATCTTCCATACAACATCTCTAAACAGGGATTTGCACCACCCCAATATCCCCAATATGTGACGCGGGCCCACTGATTTGCCCACTGATTTGCGGGTCCGACTTGAGCTACGTAGCACGTTCTGGAACCATGAACATACTCTTACCTGGCTTCTTCCATTGCCCGCTTTTGAAGGTGAAAACACTCAGCCTTGGACACCCTTGGAGGAACAAGAAAAAAAAACAGCCGGAACGGAAGGTCCAAAGATATCAAACGTATTCACAAATACTTCAGATCTTGACGCAGTCAAACATGTCAAGCAAGGAAATCATCAATTTTGATTGGGTCGATCCAAAAGCTTACAGTTTTTTCAACGAACAAACCCTTCACGGCCTCTGTCCGGATCTCATCCTCCGTCATCCCTTCTGCAACTTTCGATAAACCCTCCTTGGTGCAGCAGTCACTCGGAATACAACTGAAGAGGGCTCTGAATCCCGAGCACACCAAAGTATCTTGGGAGCAAACTTACTACAGATTTCCCGCTTTCCTCTGATTTGCAGCGTGAAGTTGTAGTGTGGTGCCTTTTGAATTTCCATCCTATGGCATGCTATGCTATCTTGGCTCCACCCTGGCATACCCGACATTTCCTCCGTACTCCACGAAACCGTCCGGCACGCAAAACTCGAAAATCATGGAAAGAAGAATAAACATCATTCAAAAATATTCAAAATAAAAAAGAATGGCACAATAGAGATTGGGTGCACATCTACTTGCACATCTCATGGCTAGACTCGACCAAATTCAATGGCAATTGCAAAAAATATAACAAGTCAAATTTTGCCAGTCAAGGAGCGGCGCTCTGCAGAACAGCCACCGCTTCCTTGCATTTTGAATCGCAAGCCAAATTCAAGGGAGTGAAACCTTAGCGGCAAGTTTGACATCAAACGCCAGAACTGCGCGAGTTTACAGGAGACCTCAAACCTTTCCAAATCAATATGATCAATATGATCAATACGACAAGGCTGTGTCAATATACGTACTGAAATTGAAGGCCCTCAGACTGAATCTACTCTCCAATGGGAATTCAGTTGGATCCGAGGGCTCAGATCATACACATTCACATATTCTATGTGAAGACCTCTGAGGCTCCGGGCCGCTGAGGTCTTCAGCCTGGGTCCTGGCTCTGGCCTCCAGCAGTAGTTCGATGATTTTGACGGGTTCCGAGAGCTCACTGGCGGCCAAGTGTAGTGGTGTCCGGCCTCAGCGCCGCCGGAAAGCCTAAGAAAATAACACAAAAAGGTGCTGATGTGCCCTTCTCAACTGTCACTGGATTGGATCATGGAAGCTTTGAATTTCACTTCTCAAGAACAACACCTTGCTCGCTCTAAGTTTCGGACCACTTCTGTCCGTGGCATCAACAAACGCGCGATTTTTCAGGAGCTGCTGGACGTAGTCTTTGTCACCGCTGCACACGGCATTGTGCAGCTCCGTCCGGCCTAGGTGACAAAGGTGACAAAGGTGACAAAGGTGACAAAGGTGACAAAGGTGACAAAGGTGACAAAGGTGACAAAGGTGACAAAGGTGACAAAGGTGACAAACGTTCATACACATTGCTTCAAATCAAATTGAACTATGCCATGTTGTCAGGGTACAAAAGACATGTGTCGTGATATCTTCAGGGAACTCCATGGGTTTTCATGTTTTTTTCAGATTCGATTTGACATGAGCTGCACCAGGAAGAAGCAGCAACCGCTGAGCTTGACAGATGGAGACGGGAGAAGTGGTAATCATTACTACACTGTGACCCGGACAAACGTCAACCTCCTCTGCTGGCAACACATCCAGCTATTCACCTCAACTTTGAGCCCGCTGCCCAACCTGTTCTTCTTCTCGACAGCTTTGCCCTCATCTGTGGTGTCTTGGCCTTGGCATGACCAAGGCAGAGTGGCTCCAAAAGGATTCCTGAGAGGATTCCATGCATATCTGGCGTAAAACAAATGCTGAGCGCCAAGCTCTCAGAGGATGCTGTGGCGGCCTGGTCGACAGGAAGGTGCATTCGAAAAAGGTTCATAGCCAGCGCATGGAAACATTCAAAATGGAATGGAGGTCATATTCAAACATGTAAAACAAATAAACATAAAAGATCCTATTTGATCAAAGTTTCTTTGCATGCCATGTTTGCTAGACATGAACAGGACATCAAAAACAATATTTGTTTGGACAGATATGGTGGTGCCTGTTGACATAGCATCTGTGGTTGCTTGTTGATGCATTCCTGTGGAGGTTTATCGTGAAGAAAAGCAAACAGGAATGCCATCCTACCGGTTGCGTGGTTGTCAAACCAATCAAGGGGCCCAGGATGGCAATCATATCTGCCCTGTCCAATTATCCTCAGCCGTTAGATCGGCCTCCGGCCGGTCCTTTAAAGTCCTCCGGGCTTCTAGGTCATCAAGCACAGCCCGAACAAGCTCCTGCAGGGACAACATACATGAACCAGTCGAAAACAATGAACCAACACTGTCAACACTGATTTGACAGATGATGGAACTGAAGGAAACTTTGAAATTATGGATGCTGTTTCAAGTCATTTCAAGTCCATGTTTGGAATTTATGAAAGGTAAATAAGTGTCGACTTGTCCTTGTCCCGTATTCACCGACTACACATGCGCAATTGCACGAAAAGTCAAAAACGCTGCTAACCCGGCCTATGAACCGGAATTTGTGTTTCACGAGAACACAATTGTACAACATGCGAATCTGCATTCGGCCCACCTCAGCTTTTGCGTTTGCAAGTGTATACGCTGCAAATTCTTCCAGCAGTCTTTTGACCTCGTCCTGCGCAGTATGGAATGTACTTGACGGCCACCCTGCTCTGACACCGTGATGGATGTAGATTGCCCGCTTTTCGATGAAGGGGCTGGCAATGAAGAGTCTGGCAAAGATATCAAAACCGAAACATGGATAGAAATGGCACATAAAGGGCTTTCAGGTCAAACCCTGCTCCTTTGAGAATCATGGGTCTGCACCGTCCAAAAACGCAACCATGTCGTGCCATGCCATTGCATGTTGGGTCCTGTTCCCGACTTGCATCTGAAAGCTGGCTTTCGACAGTTTTCAGCTTCTCCTTCGGGAAACTGTGAGCCATGGTGGGTGAGGGATTCACTGAGTTTACAGCAAAAAGGCAAAAAAGGTACAGTACCCGGTGAAGGTCCACATGGTCCAAGCCAAGTTCAATTATGCATACAGGGTACATCCTAGCAAAGACCCCACAAATATGCAGTTGTGTGCTGACAGATGAAGGGTAGCACAATTGTTGTCATGCCAATTATGCAATCCAGGGAGTCACAGAAAACGGGACTGGAATATGATGAGATTGAACTCGCCATCTTTGACTTTTGTTTCTATATTATATCATATATACTGTTCTGTTTTATTCACAAATCCTCGATAAGTGTGACCATCCTAAACTTGCTAAACCCTTGGTTTACCTGCACTCCAAATTTCCGGTCACCACGTGAACCTCGAATTTTTGTCGCTCAATTCTTTGTTCCCGAAGACGGTCACAAAATGTTTTCAAGAAGGCCTTTCCAGGGAATGAAGCCAGACCACCAACATATCAAATCAGTCAAAAAAGAACGCAAAAACATTTAACGCTTGTTTAACTGCGTGTTTTGGATGTCATTTTCCACAGAAACGCAGCAGCACAGAAGCACATGTCACTTTTTCCGAATGCCTCCTCAAGACTGGAACATGACCTACCTACATGTATTTGCAAAAGAGATTCCAACCACAAATCGCAATGGGCCTTCAAATTGTCATTTGCCTGCTGAAGTTCGGCCAAAGCTGGCAAGTCCTTTCCAGCTGTGTCAAGACCGGACAACATGCTGAACAAAGGTTGACGCTGAGCAGTGACGAGATATTGAAAACCACTAGAGACTGAAAACCACTCTTCTGTGACCACGCTGGACAGCCTCACCAATCTCGTTGACTTGACACTTGGTCCCTTGTCTACATGACTAACTGTTCAACAATTCTGCGGTCGTTTGATAGCATCAAGTTTCCATGAAACGTGCTGCACTAGATATCAGGAAGAAAACAAGGACATATCCAAGTTTGCCATTGACCTGCATGCTTATGTGGTGTCAACCATTTGTTTGATGTACACTACCTGGTATGAATCAAAATAAGTTGCTCTCCCAGCACATCTGGGAACCCTGCGAGCGTTCCCAAGGCCATCATTCTTTGCACGTGTTGTGCAACGGGAATTCCCGTAGAATGGTGAAACCGTACCGAAATGTCAAATCCAGGAAGGGTGGGTGGAGTGGATGCAATGCCGAAACTTCCAAGGTCCCTTTGGGCAACAAGCCCATCCAACACCATGGATTCAATTGAAATTGCTAATGAAAAGTATCATAACATTCAATTTCAATCGCAATGAGAAAGATCATAGTTTGGCACAAACATGTGAAGAGCTGAAGTGTCCCAATGTTGCTTTGAACCTGAAAATGGAATGGTGTGACATCGATCGCGTATTACATGCACATATATGCACATCTTCCATGGCACTTTGACCCCACATTAAGCTTGACCACCTCTAACAGACCCCACAGAAAAAAAAAAATATACATTGAAGCAAAACCTTGAAGTTCTTCCTCCGAACATCGAGGCATCGGTATTGAAAGACTCCAGCTGAAGAATGGTATTTGTTACTTCTTGATGCGTCTTGCAATTTGGAAAAAGTCCTGACTGGGTTGCTGGGATGATCATGAAGCCAAGCTCCATGGATTTACACGTCATTTTGCGATCGTTTGCTCACCATGTCACTATACAATGAAAGACAACAATTTGGAGGTAATATGAGGTAATCAAAATTATTACAAATGAACTACTGACGGGAATCTTCAGGTTCAGGCTATACCCGCGATGGCTGCAGGAGGTCGTAGCCACTTGCTGAGCTCAATCCCAAACTGAGACGAAACTCAAAAGGAACCTCTTCTCCGTGAGGCACCATGGAACCACAGATCATGGCGTTGAAACCATCCAATTTTGAGACCCAATTCTGACCACCCGGTGACCCTGAAGGAGTTGGGCAGCGCATTTTTGATCACAGGATGCACCTCTTCAGGGCACCTTTGGCCCGGAATCCGCTTTTGGACATTTTGGGAAGCTTACCCCAGAGACCACTTAGTCAAGCCGAGGAGACCTTTGCCTGATGGGAAGGCAAACAAACACGAGGAAATCATGCTGTTCCATGGGCTTTAAGCAAGAAATAATGGGGATACAATCAGCAAAGATTAAAGAAACTCGGAAGCTAATTGCAGCTGTGGGTCAATGCAGCTGACAAAATTCCCCTTTCCAAATTCATGATCAAACGATGTCAAAGGCTACCACAGGTGTGACGTGATCTTGCTACGCACTGAGGTTGAAGGGTAAAACTGCAACTTTCATCAAATTTCACTATTAACCGTGTGCCTCTCCAAAATGAAGCATTGCCATGTCGATACATAATACTGTCTTGAAAATTATTACCGGGGCCAGGGCCGTCTAAATGCACATGGGCATGGGCAGCTGTCAAAATCATTAGTATTACAGTAGTATAAAGTTCTGATTCCTCCAAATTAATGGATTGTGGCTGACCTTATACTACTTATTGCATCCTGACTACCACGAATATTGACAGCCCCTCACATGAAACACCAAAGTAAAAACATCAGGCGGATTCGCAAACATCGCTCAGCTACTCCATGTGCCAGGCCTTCCGGTTCATGCCTTGGGCGGTGAGAAGGTGCACAGAACATTTGCACTTCACAATGGTTGGACCGTTTGAGGGTTAAACCTGAAAATACGGGATGTTGATAAGTCTAAGCCCATCATGAACGAACACATGACCAACGTCCTGGCCCTTTTGGATCGTCTGGTACGGCGCATACCCATCTGTGACATTTTGAATCCCTTAGGCCATGTGTAGCTGGAGACAATCAACAAACATCCAACCTGTTCTTGATGTTGTCTCCGAAGACCATGGAACTGGAAAGGGTCAGCGGGGTTAACACAGAGAATCGCATGCATGGGTACATATGGGTACCAAATCAAGCCTGCACGTTCAGATTCGTGGCTGATCTATGCTCACTTGTTGGCAGGTGGCTTGGGACGATGATTTGCCCGTTTCATTTTTGTCCAAAATTGGCTGCATAAACCTCCCCCGGTCTGGGCTTGCACTATCGCACGCCCCTTTCACGTTTTCCATCCCCACAGGTGCCAGAAGTTTCACTATGTTATATCAAGTTATATCCGTTCACACCCTTGGGCCACTGCAGTCCTTGAGGCCGAACCATGCAGCCAAGAGGCTTCGTCCATCAGCAAGTTCAAGAAAAAGGCACTCCTCTCTCGCCAGATCCACGGGCGCGTTGCCTGAAGACTGCTGACACCCGAACTGACACCGTTGAATATCTTCGATACATACTTGAACTATCTTGATTTGATCAACATGTGCATTGCCGACTTTGACAAGTGTCTCTCATTCTTCGCATTGGCTCACGGGTATCCAAGAAGAGCCCCCCCGCAAATGTCAAAGACAAGGATGAACTCCGAAATTACCTGCTTCAACAAAAACGTGCTACTTTGATGGTGACAGAGACACGTCCAAAATTCCGGCTCTTGCAAATCAAGGGTACTTTGAAGATGGGAACGAGACATAAAACATCCATTGAAATCTGGAAATCCCAATACCCATTGAATCTGTTGAATTCGACAGAAACGGAAAACATCATACAAGGCCAGATTGAACTTCATGGAACGGCACCGATTGCGATTGCTGGGGACAACTCTTCAAAACGGCTACAACATCGGCTGTGTCCGCCTTCATCGGGCCGCTGTCCGCGGATTGCCAGCTGCAGAGGCCGCTGAGAAAACGAGGCGGTGTTCGTCTCGGCATTTGGAGAGCCCGGGGTCTCTCACCACTGAAATTGCACAATTCGAGTGGATAAACCTGGGTAAAACAGGGTAAAATCTGTTCATTGGAACCCCTGAATCTTGAATCCCCTACAACTTCAAAGGACTTTAAATTAACGCCGGGACTTTCGACACATAGTGCAAGTACAGGATACGATGGTCTTCCATTTGTTCCATCTCTTTGGAAGCAAACTCTGTCGAGCTTAGTCTAACAATTTAGCCGTTGGTTTGTATGAATTCCACGCATGAATGCCGCTCTGTTTTACAGAAATTATACATGTTTGCTTGAAGCGTTGGGTCACCATCTTCAATAAATACTGAAATACTGCATGTCTGGAAAACGCACACTCTAACCTGCCAAAAGAAATTGCACTTTTTCAAAACGAAAGACTTCCATGCCGGCAATGTTGCATTTTCTCCAAATGATGCACGTTCCTTTGTTAGCCATGCACGTTTGCAAAAGATGCCGTGGTTGTGGAGTTACTTCCTTCAAGGAGTGCTGTCTTGAGATTCATGCTATATTTACTCAAAGTGCAGTTTATTTGTTCATGCATTCGCTCTCAAAATGCGAATGGTTCTCCTTTCGCAAAGGAATACCTCACTTGTTGTGCAAGATGTGTAGAAGGAACAAGATGGAATAAGACTTTCTTAAAGATATGCCGCAGTTTCTCACAGAGATCGTGGTGTCCAGAAGGAAATTTGCACGCGCTTTGTGCTTGATCTGCTGCGCGTGCTCAACGAAAGACTCAGTTTTGCTTTGTAGACACTCCCATGTCTTACAGTACTGTTGCTTTTGACAATCGACCCAAAGGCGTGTTTAAACTCTGTCACTTCGTTTGTGGTGTCCTTTTGTATCCTTTTGTGAAATTGTCTGACACTTCCTACTGCACTTTTGTCTGCCCTGTGTGTAGCACTTCTGAGGTTTTCTGATACTTTCTATTCATGGATCCCTCAAACACATAACTCCTCAGAGGCGGTGGCATATGAATATACAAAGATGTCTATTAAGTATATATGCAGATATATCATACAACAGTGTGTATATATATATATATATATTTATATTCATATGTGTATCTGTATTTATATTTATATTCATATTTATACTTATATTTATATCTGTGTATATATATACAAATAAAGTTACACGTATGATCTTATGATTAGTGGAAATGATTGAACTTATCGAATAACAGCTCCGAACACCACAATTCATCATATTCGCCAGAACAAGACGTCAACAGATTGGCACCTGTTTGAGCTGCAAGCCACAGCCAAACCTACAGTGACAACGGGTGTCATCCGAGTCTTCCGACATTTCTCTCACAAAATCCCTACAGGTGATCACGCAAGAATGCAATCTGGGCGTGTCTGAAATTGAGGAGTTATCCTGAGTAAAATATGCCATCAAATAATCAGGTTTTAAACCATGGGATTTTAGGGGTGCCCATCTGCATTCCCTGCTATCCCACTGAAATCTAAATGGAACATGCAGTTGAGAACCCCCCCATCTAAATTTGATGTGTCCGTCTTATTCCACTTCTTTTGCAGAGCATGGTGAACATGCATGGAGCAAAGCTAGTTTGATGAATGTCTAAACTTCTATGCCAACCAGTTTATTAAAACAACCTTGCGTAGCCTCGTGGTTCTTTTGAAGAAAGCAAAACAAAGCACCAAATGTCGCATTACCAGCATCATCAATCTTTTGACAATAGAATCAATAGAATAGAATGTGTGTATAATATATATATATATACCGTATTATATACATAATAATATTGTATGAATTTATTTATGGATATATATATATATATATATGGTAACGATATTTGGACAGAGTCTCTCAAATGAAGGCATACCTGCGCCACAGTGTCTTTTACCCAATGTCCCAAGTTTGTTAAACCGCTGCCATGCTGTCCACAATAGCACCCTCAACCAGGCCCACCTTGCCACCAGGAAGACCCCTCATGACATGAGCGCGGAGCATCTTTGCCTTCCACTATTTGTGCACGTGAATCTGAACTGTGTTCTGTTTCCAACACATACAGCGGTTTATTTGTTAACAACACTGTTGCTCAAAAAACACACCAACGAATACGAAGGAATGATAACAACAAGAGCATCAAACTCTTTGGGTCACTGCCAGAACTATCTGGGTGTGTCTGAAAATAGTGTACCCCTAAAGCCAATGGTTAATGATCATTATCCCTATTAAGTGGCTATAATTGGGAATACACCCTATTTTCAGACAAACCCATCTTGCAGTTTCCGGCAAATGACTAAAATTCAAGCAAATGTCACGCCTCAAGTCTGGAGTTCTTCTTCGCGAAGCAAGGGCTGGTAGGGCTGGTAACACAACGCGAAACAGTCTTGCAGGTCCTGGAAACACAATGTTTGATACAAACACCTGAAGACCACACGATACCACACGTTAGAATCATTCAGAATCTGGGTTTGGTACCAGAAAATCAAATGTTGCTGGATCAAAGCCTCATTTTTGCCATTGTTTGATGGCAACCTTTGGGGTATATCCAATCTTCGGACAAACCTATCGGTTTTTGTATGTTTGTTCACAGCATTCACGACCACCTGCCAGAACTGCACAGCCATGGAGTAGTGCCGCGCCGCCTGTCAAAAATAGAGTTTGGAATGGGAAAGCAACCATGCTGGAAGCGATGTCGAAAGGCGTCGGTGAATTCCAACGGAAAATATAAAACCACTTAAAAAATGTTCAAACGCTTCTGTCATTCAATTCTTCCTGCTGGGATATAGAGAGATCCCCAGTTCATATACCATGAATGATGACACTCCAGAATAAATTGGATAGCTCATCTACCAGGGTTTTTGCAGTCACTGTTCACTTCACCCCGCACTGAAACGCCACCTTTGCATGCACTCTCCGGATGATTCCTGGTATGTCTCGCTCCAGGAAAACGTCGTTCTCGGTCGCCACACGGTTGCAAAACTTCCGAAAACCTCCAAATTGTTTGCAAAAATGCTTGGTCAACACAAATAAGTCTTCGACTCGCATCTCGGGTGGCACGCGTAAATGTTCATAGTCCCATGGGTCGGGCAGGACCCCATCCCACATTTGAAATGCGAATTGCCACTCTGTCATGTTGGGCAACTTGAGCCAACAACTGAATTTTTGAAATCGGTTCCGTGGCATGTGGGCTCCTTAGCCACTCCTTGATGGCAGCTGCAACGCCAAAAGTGTTATTTTCATCAATTTCATCAATGCTCTTTCATTTTGCAATGGAAAAACAAATCCACTTCCGCAAGGGCGTCCTTTTCCACTGCAAGAAAATTTTGACGCGGACTTGGCCCCGGCTTTGGGGCCCCAGGCGGATTTGGATGAAATTGATGCTTTCACAGTGCAGGCAGAATCAACACAACACCGAGACCCAAAATGAGTCATTATATAGGGTAACAGCTGGCAACTGCAAAATAGTATGTCCCCACACCCAAGTTCCTCAACGTGTTCTTGCTAGTAACATCCCACGAAGCCAACCCGCGCAGGGCCCTACAGGTGAGCATCTTCAGCTTTACAGCAGCATTGCCCTCGCATGCTCGGGCAGCTCAGCAACCGAGGGTGCAGTTGCTCGGACGGCACTTTGTCCTCAGAGCTGGCATAAGAAGCAGAGAGTCAAGCACCGGCGCGGGGTGGATTGGTTCCACCACAATATATGCATATTAGTGTCAACCCTGGATTAATAAACCCCTAGGCTGTTTAATTGGGGGGTACCATTTAAGTATCAGATGATGACCATGGTTTATTAATCCGGGGTTGACATTAGACATGTATTATACGCTATGTAAGTTCGAGCTCGGCGACTCTGGCACTCCCGCCGCTCCCGCCCTACACAATTTGTTCCAAATAAATTACGCATGACGCGCGCATGGGTTTCCAAGAGATTGCCAATCGCAGAGTTTGCCACAATACGACGCATATCTGGAAAAGCGGAATGCCCGCATAGTTGCGAAAGCAGCCACCACCAATGCTCTATATACTGATTTCGTTCTTATAGCTGTCATGCTGACATTGTGGTGAGGTTTCAAGTCCTTGTGGTTGCTCTGCTTACTAAAATTTGCATTTTGTGGCGTTTTTCGTTTTGTGTTTGTCTCCTGTTTGTTGGTGTTGTTGCTGCTGGCAGCATGGTGGGTGTTGGAGCGGGTGTCTGGTGTTTGCGTTGCTGTTGTTGTTGCTGCTGTTGCTGTCGTTGCTGTCGTTGCTGTCGTTGCTGTCGTTGCTGTCGTTGCTGTCGTTGCTGTCGTTGCTGTCGTTACTGTCGTTGCTGTCGTTGCTGCCGTTGCTGTCGTTGCTGTCGTCGCCGTCGCCGTCGCCGTCGCCGCCGCCGTCGTCGTCGTCGTCGCGGTCCTCGTCGTTGTTGTTCAATTTCTTGCTTAGAGCCCAAGCAATCACAGGAAACCAGAAAATCCTGAAGCCTGGCAGCAGTGAAACTTTGAAAGTTGGGCACACCACCAGAAAAGCCAAGAGCTTTCTTCCTGAGCACTCTTCATACAGAAACTCTGTGGCTGAGAAGTGGGCAGAAGCATTAGGAGCACCAGCGTTGATCTGCTCTTTGAACTTCACGAACATGTCCCTCATTTTCTCCTGCAGGCTCACGGCATCTCGCAAAAGCCTTTCTGGCCAAAGGGGATGCAGATTAATTACGCAGAATGTTTCCTCCCATGGCCACTGAATGCCACTCGTATTTTTCCCAGGAGCCCGCGCTGGTACCGCACACACGGGGCCGCACAAGCTGGAAGAAGCAGCGATTCCTTTGGGGAGACTCAGCAACGACGCAAAGATTTTCTGCCTGCTCTCCTTTTCACCGTGCCCACAAACAATGTGATTAAGCCGACTTCTGGATTGAACAGGAGAAACAAATTGAACCTCCTGAAACGCCAAACAGCTAGTGCTGTGAGGACAGGGAAAAAATGGCCACAGTTGGCTCCACCATCCCACGGGCCCTCGCCCAGAGGGGTTGCCTTGGACAACACAAGTCGTGAACGCCAAAAAGGGCTACAGAAATCTCCAGTCTTCAAAAGTCAGAGTCATGAGGAAGGAGCCCTAACGAACATCGTTTCTGCCTGCTCTCCTTGCATCTCTTGGCGTGTCAACTGAGGTGGAGGCCCGGCTCTCACTTCTCATCTCCTGTCGTGAGCACTGCACCAGCACTTCCCGACTTGCTCAACGGATTGGCTTAAGGAAAATCTATGAAAATCTACGGTCCGAATTTTCAACCCCAAATGGGACAGCGAAGCGTGTCCTCTGGCCGCATGGGGAAGGCGGAGGGAAAACGAAAACAGCTGTCTCGAGCACTAAGCACCACTGGTCATGCGAGGCCAATACAAGCCATGGTCTACCGAGTCTACCTCATCGAGAGATCACCCGTTTCGTGTGTGAGCTGTAATCCACTTCCAGGCTGTTCACCTACCCATGAACATGGGCAGGTTTTACTTCTCACACGACAAAAATTCAATCAATGAAACCAAGATCTATGCTTCCGATTTGCAAGTGAGTTTATAGTGACGGACAATCACTTAGAACGTATTTTGGAAAAAAAAATCTGAATATTACTGCTTTTTTTACGTTCTAAGCCTTGCACTTAGAACGTCGAAAACCATACACTTAGAACGTCCAAATATCAAGATTCATCACTTAGAACGTACCGGGGATTTAACACTTAGAACGTGTCTAGGTCACTGATGATAGTGGAAAGGCTTGTGAAATCATGTATGTATTTATATATATACAAGTATATATACATATCATATGGTAATTGTTCATAATTATAGTGGCGGACAATCACTTAGCACGTTCTAAGTGTTGGTTTACGTTCTAAGTGATAAATGGGCCTAAGTGATATTTTGACGTTCTAAGTGATGAATTTTCCCTACGTTCTAAGTGATGAAATTTTGCTACGTTCTAAGTACGAAAGAAAAATGGAAAAAAAAATACGTTCTAAGTGATTGTCCGTCACTATAAATGTGTTTGCCGATCACGTCACCACAAATAAAGACAACCATGCGGAAATCATACCAAATCAACCACCAGCAACAGAGGTTCCGACCATTTGCTGGGCTCAATCGTTTCGTCAAACTGAGATAGATATAGATGGGAATACTTCTTCTATAGACATGAAGTACCATGTAACCACACAGGCTAGTAATTTTGGGATGTCTTCAATCATGTCAACACCAGGATCAAAAACCCCTGACAATCAACTGGGGCTACCACCAAAATAGTGATTGCATGTGATTGCTAATTATTGTATTAAAGAACTGGGAGTTTGTTAATCCATATTAATCCTGGATTATCATATTCAATCAATTTCGATCCAGACCCCTTTGTAGCCCCCTAGAGATGTTGCGCAGCACGTCTTTGGTCACAACAGGATGCACCTCAAAGGCATCTTTGGCCCGACATTTGCCACGCTCACAACGATCCTGTCACGGGAGTCGCCAAATGCTGGCGCTGAGGTGTACTGGCGGGAGATGCTGACAGAGATGACTTTGCCAACACAGCCCTAGCTTTTTGAGGCTTTTTGACCAAGAGATCCTGACTTATGATGGTTATGAATAAGTTGTGAATTTTGCCCATCTAAGCTCTGAAACTAAGCTCTGCAACCAGGCTCCATCCGTAACCCAGAGGCAACAGACTTGGCTCATTGGTGGTGAACCGGGATAGGACTTGGATCAAAGTCGCAAAAACGGATTCGCCGTTTTCAATGCAAGGTGCAACACATCTGATTCCGCCCTTCCCCAGCTCAGAGTTGATCCCCGCTGATCCCTTGGTGCCCATTGTGTCCTTGCGCACCGGGGGAAATAGATCGAACATCCCACAGTTATCCCAGGTTTATCACAGTTTCCAGATTGGTTCATCATTTTTTCCCAGGTTTTCCCGTTTTTTCTCCCAGATGCATATGTTTTCCAGTTGTTTTCGCAGTTTCTTTCTCCCAATGTTTGATTATGTGTCCCTTTTTTCCCCAGCTGTCCCATGTTTTCATCATTTGTCCCTCTCCATGAGATAGAAACATGGGAATTTGGAAATAAGGACAGGGCGTTTTAGTGTGAAGTTGGAATATTCAAGGTGATTAAAAAAGAGAGCAGTTGTGGCCTAATTATTAGTGTTTATTGTTGCTGCTGTTTTTGGTATACTGATTTGGAATTGGTGTTGGAATTGGCACTTAGATATGGAGTTGGTTACTTGTTTGGTGCCAAATTGATGCAAGAACATTGGTGTTCTTCCTTGGTGTCGACGTTTGACGGCAAATAATAGCGGGATAATACCGGCATTTCAGATGGTGGTGGCTACACGACAAGATAATATCAATTGCATGCTGCATGGCCAATTTGTTTGGCACATTCCCTGAAAAATCATTGGTCATGATTGGTCACTATTATGATTATTATGTGTGAATGGAGTCAGATCAGATTGTTTGATATGATATCCATGGGAAAACATGAATTGAAACATTTGAAAAAGAAGAAGAAACACCACAACCACCACACACATGCAAAATACCTGGAAAATAAAGGTGAAAAAATATCAGGCGTCTTTCCAAAATTCATGGAACAAAAACAGCAACAAAAAAAAACGAAAATTCTTTGAAATTTCATCAGAATTTCTCACTTTGGTGGACATGTTTTTCAGTTTTTTCCCACCCGTTGCGTCACCCGTTGTGTTTTTTTTTGCCGACCCCACGGCCTTGAATAGATTGCATCCATGAAAAAAATGTTGATATTTCTGACGATTCAATGTGTTTACAATGATGACTTGATATGACAACTAGAAAATTGATGAGATTTATTAGATTTCAGCCCTTACCCCCACTTGAAATTCATTATTGTCATCATGTGTTCGTTGGATCACTTGAAGTATTCCCTTCTTTCTTTCTTTCCAACAAAGATGGACACAGGGTGCAGATGGGCACGCCACATTTACCAGCTATTTTGAACTTTGAAACCCGCACCAAGGCACCGCGTTTTTACCCATAGCCATTTACGAATCAAATTTATAAATATATATATATATATAATTATATATATATATATGTTTTTCCGCAAAATAGTCCTGAAATTACGAGTTAGGGAAATAATAACGTTGAACACGTTCTTTTCTTTTATAGGTTCACTTCGATCAGGAAATAAGGCCTTATTCCCTTAGAACAATTAAGCATGAATATTGCTTATTTCAAGAACTTATGGCTTCAAACCCCAGTCACAGAAACAAAGAAATAAGACGATTTTCGTATTTCTGGAAACGT